ACTTGAATAGGCCGAAGCACAACACAGCAGCATGTCAAGTGGGCCGAATCCGAACCGAATATGAGCAACATTTTTAGATGTTATTCCCCCCCCAAAGTTGTAAACCTACGGGAAGCACTGTCAATGGTTTGGGTTCGAGTGCCTACAGTGCTATGAGTTAAACTGGTGATAAGGAGAGAAAATTAATTGTATTCCCGCCAATAACAAGCGTTCCACAATACAAAGAAATTGTATAAGTACGTGCGCTTGTCCACACTTGTGTATCGATTCAATATGGAAGAAGATGCTGCTGCCGTGTGGTACCTGCGTGGATGTAGCCACCATCGGGTCTGGGTACACGATATCCTCCGGGGCTGTGAACAGCACGGGGAATATCATTGGCTAGTGCGGGAGTTTGTGGTAGGAACTAAAAGTTTCCGAGGATATTCTCTAGGTCCCAGTGATGGACATCTACATTCCGATTGGTTGCTGGTCATTTGCAACTCAAACGCGTCATAGCTAATTTGCATAAAGTTAACCAGTCTTCAACTTTCATTTGCAGCTCAAACTGCCGCCGTTCATCGCTTTTGCAGCTGAAAACTCCTCTAGTCGCCACATGTCCATTGAAAATGAATTAGACCTGTCGCCTTTGCAGCTCTGGCAGCTTTTGGTGTGATTTAAAACTGCAGCCTTTAAGGGCCATATATGTTGTTTTTGGGGGTCACTGGCAAACAACCTGTTCTGTTTTTTAGGTATGAGGATATGCTGGCAGTGTATGTGTGGGATGATACTTCATTCTGCTATATACACCTCAAAGAATCACAGGGTATCCCTCAACTTCAGTAGCTCTTGCATCCATATTAAGTTGGATTGTGGTGGCCTGTGTGTGTATGTGTGTGTGTGTGTGTGTTTGCTGATAAAAACATTCTCCATATAAACAGAATCATATTGTGTTAATGTCCTTTCTAGACACCAAGGCATTGCACGCTTCTAACCGAGTGCATCTGACATTTTGTCACTTTGTGCAACATGCGTGGGTGTGTACTCGCATATTTGTGTGTGCGTGCATCTGTGTAGGATTATTTCTTCTCTGTATTTGCCGCTGGGGATTCCCAGACTGCCCAGACAATTGAGGATGTTTTTGTTACACAGGAAAAGCTGCTCACTTTTCCCCTCCTCCCGTCCAATCCATCTGTCCCCCTCTCCTCCGTCGCCCTCTCTCTATCTAACACACTCAGTCCACCAGAACACAGATGCGTTTGTCCTTTTCCACCTCAGTGGCAGAAATTCAAAATCAAACCAATAAAAGTCCTCTTGTGACAACAGCTTTCTTTCTCAGAAGCGAATGGCTTTGTGTGTCCGCCTTTGTGATGTTGGGTTTGTTTGTTCGTGTGCTCGCTCCAACACACCTCTTCAAATGCCAAACTAACCTGCTGCAGTCCCTCTCTCGTCCAAGCTAGTTTCCTCTTAGTATTGCAGTGGCCAGGCCTTTTAGATCAACACTCAACACAACAGGACATTGTACCTTGTCCAGACCACCACACCAATTGTTCCTCAAGAGCAAAACCTGGTTGTATTGATCCACTCCGGCCTCCCTGTTGTTTCAGCTCAGCGAGCAGTACATTGGAAGGAATGTTTGTACAGGAGTGAGTGATGTACAGAGTGATTTAGAACTCCCTCCAGGGTACCGGGGGAGGAGGCGATTATGACAGCAGACATTTAGAGACATAAGGGAAATAAAGTTGAGCTTGTTCGGTTACATTGATTTTTAGATGGCAGCAATCTTCTAGTTGATTACACAAAATAGTCGTAATGGCTAATTTTAACAGCAGTAGCAATAGTAACAGTAGTGATGGTGGAATTAGTGGTAGTGGTAGCAGTTATGGTTGTATATCCTTAGGGATGCTAACTGCTGTAACTACGCTCATGCCTCTTTGATATGCTGCAGCTATTTGTGAAGTGCCGCTCCACCTGAAATCCATCTTTTGAATATGAAACACATGCACCCTGTAGGCTTGGAAGATGGAAGCGTGTGGTTTCTTCATTGACAAAGAACAAGGCTTTGGTCAGCTTGAATCTACAGTTGAACTCAATAATCCTCAATTTTTAAACCATTCCCTGAGCTTAATCCACTGCTTTGCTGCCATTTTTTGGTATTTTTCCACAGTTTTATTTTTGTCGAAAAATGGTTGATTAAATAAATATTTGCCAGTCTGGATGTTGCCCTCCGTCTCTCTTCTCTGAAACTGTACTGGAAGCATATGCTGCAGCAATGGTTTGAAAAGTTTCCATGGGTGTTTTGATGTGTTGATGCCTTTGTTCTGCGATGACAACCTGTCATTATAAATAATTTAAATTCAAGCTGACCCTCCATTCTCTTTCAACAAGGAAACTACAGTCAATTTTTAAGATAAACATAGATTTTTAGAAAGAGTATCACTCAAGGAACAGTGTTTCTATGCATATAAATGAGTCCATTCATTGCCAAGTCAGTCCGCAGTATGTATTTGAAGCGATATAGGACACATGAATATGGATCTAACCTATGGCACGCATGCACAATTACAGACGAATGTAGGGCAAACACACAGGGCCTTCATCTGTTAGCTGTTACACGTTGTCTCTGCCAACTGAGCTTGGCATGCCCATTTGAGCGCACACCCTCTCTGATGTCTGAACACAGCCCCTGATGCCAAGCTCCCAGGTGGGGGTGGAGAGGACGATGGCTGCCGGGCATGGCCGGAGGACATCAGAAACATTTGGCCAAAGAGAGAGGATGTGATATCAACAGTAAACTTGAGCACGCAAAGTGTACATCTTCCTCACAAGAGACTTCTTGACTCATTGAACACAGGTGTAACATTAATAATGGCTGTATTCCATTCAGGTGTCCCATGCCAGGGCCCTTGTATTGTGCATGCTGGCTCACTGGCACGCCTTACTGGAACACCTAAATGGAACAGAGCCATCATTAATGTTATTAGTTACACCTGTGCCTCTCCTAGTATGACAAGTCAGAATGTCTGCAGTGAAAAAGGGGCCCTTTCTAAAATTGTAGCTTTGAGGAGAGAGGCCAGAGGGATGAATCATCATAGTATGTGTGTTTGTGAGGGGCGAGAGAGAGCGAGAGGCAGTATGATAAACCACCTCGAGCTCTCCATCTCGGTGGGGTACCTGCTCCATTCTCCTTCGTCTCTGATCCCATTACCCACCATTCCGCTGAATCGATACATCAAAGCAGACGTACAGCTGCTGCAGATACATGCACAGCGCTGCACACGTGTCAATCCTCGGATAACCAGTCGAGATAACTCAAAGCGTACAATTGGGCTATCTTTTGTCATTCTGGAAAAAAACAAAGCGCATATCACTGTGACAAATGCATGTTGTACATTGTGAATGTTACAACTCAGCTTCAAACAGAGTTAAATCAGAATGACAGGTGACAGGTTTTGCGTCTGCAGTAGCCAATATGTCTCTGTCATGTTGTACTGTCAAGATGCTTGTCTTTCTGTCTTTCTATTCCCAGCTAAGGTACAACATGCAGACACCGACTCAGAGCATTAAACCTTGCTTCAAATTGTATGTACTATATGTACATGAAGATCTGAATACTGGAAGTGTTAATATTAAGAGGTGTATGGGGAAACTGACAGCAGGATATTATGTGATCGTCTTGGTGGTGGCTGTGACGCAGAGGTAGAGCAGGTCATCTACCAATCGGAAGATTGGCAGTTCAGTCCTCGGCCCCTCCAGGCTACATGTTGAAGTATCCTTGAGCAAGATACTGAGCCCCAAATTGCTCCCGATGGCTGTTCCATTGGTATGTGAGTGTAGCAGGTGGCACCTTGTATGGTAGCCTCAGCCACCAGTGTGAATATGACTTGTAGTGTAAAAAGCGCTTTGGGTGGTCAGATGACTAGAAAGGCGCTCTACAAGTGCAGGTCCATTTACAGTTTGCATGAATATAAACATTTTGTTTTAACAATCCATCATATTGTATTAACTTTTCCTAGAACCTGATGGTGTTTTTCTCATGAGGATTTTTGGTGTCTGTAGAATTTCTGGATGTGACGTTGTTTATGTTTCATCAACGAATTTAGACATTTAGGTTTGACATGTAGTCTTTTTTGATTACATCAATGTTTTACCTGCATTTCCCCCATTTTTCGCCCAATTTTGCCAACTCCTTATGCACGCCATGTGACGAGGCATGTGGAAGGTGTAGGACAGTCATATGTCACCTCAGATACACATGTAGATGCTAGCTGGTTATTTATGGTCGTGCCTTGATGGTAACCCCAGATTTGCGAAAACTCCAGCAAGTTTTCATGTTGCATGTTTCAAGTGGTCATTTTAACCCAAACATTGTCTTTCCTAGCCCTGACAAAGTGCTTGTTTGGCCTGAACTTAACCAGACCAAACAGCGTTTGGATTCAATTAAACAAGGTGACAAGAATACTTTCAAGCAGCTCATGACAGTTTTGCAAGTCAAGGGTTACCACCTAGCTAGGCCTGTTCTTTTTAGCCGACAACTAGGAAGTTCCCTGGAGGGGTGTCACTCATTAACCATGCATGGTACCTGGATTCTTGTGATATCACGAGATTGCACAACAATCCTGGGATCCCACAAAAATCTAGTGTGTTTCTTCATTGAAAGAAGAGCAAAGAATGGCACTGAATGCTTTCCTCGATGGAAAAGATGTTTCTGCTCTTCTCCCGACTGGCCAGTATTAGACGGTGATAGACAGATGGTTCATCTAATCACCTGCCAGGTATTTTTTTGAAAGTGCCTGCCCTTTTCCAAACGCTGTCTAATGACGGCTTCTCAGATGGTTCTGTGTAACAAACCATCTGGCGTGTCAGGTTAGTCATTCATGGAGGTTAATACCAGAACTGAGAATTGGTTGGACGATAAATCAAAAGAACAAAGCAATGAACATCTTACACAGTAAATTATCAGCCATGCTCATGTGCTTTCTCCTTTCTTTCTCTCTCTTCTCCGTCTTCTTCTTTTTTAGGTGAGGAATGATCTAACTAATGAGCTGGAGAAAGCAGACATTCAGATTGCAGATACGGAAAGTTTCTCCAACGACCCCTGCGTCAATGTCAAGAAGCTCAAGGTGAGTGATCTATCCTATCTACTGATTTTAGTGTCATAGTTTTTAGTTATTGTTTCTTTAATACTGTATTTGTGCATGACTTGATGCCATCCGAATGAATGCAGGTGATTAATAATTTATCAGAGAATTGTCCCACTTTGACTGGGCAGAGCAGAGTAGTTCTCAGTGAGACTAGTTGAGGCCTAACGAGGTCACTGTATTGGCTGGGTGCGGGCAGGGGTTGAGTTTGGGGGGTACAGGGACTCCTAATGACCTACTCTGACTAATAGATGGTTGATTGGCCTTTAAATCAGAAAATATACACATACAAACATGCATACAGGATTTTGTATTTTCTTTCCTCTCATTTTCTTTCCTCTCTCCTTTGAATTTAATGAGACAGAACGAAATTAGACCATTATTGGGCCAATATTGAGATGTTAGATCTGTACATCTTTACACCATTTACTCCTGGTCTTAGCATGCATGGGTGATCAGAATTGCTTTCATGAAGCAAAACTGCATGAAATTCAGATGTAAATGCAGTCAAGTGTGCTGGCTAAATTATCCAAACTATCTCCAGAGGCAATCACAGATGCATCTGGCCTCAGTTGTGTATGCACAGTGAGTCTGAGCAGGTACGGTTTACGGTAGGAAACATAGTCAATGGAGGTAAATCAAACACACAGCCATGTGGCTAGTGAGCTTAGCTAGTGACATACGAGGTGTCTGTGAAAAAGAAAGGTCTGATATGTGAGGGGAAGAAATGACGCATGCAACATAGAGCAGTGTGAAAGAAAAGAGATGGCGACACAGGGAAGGAGAAGGAACCGGAAGATAAGCTGTCTTTCCTAAAATATATGTGTAACTCTGCATGTTCAAGGCTGACATGTTAAGCTAACGCCATCCTTCCTTGATCAATGGTGAACATGCAAATCACAGTGTCGCTTTCTTAAATGTTTGGATGGGGGGGGGGGGGGCTCCACAACCCTAATGGTCCGTTTCCCACTCATCTCGCAACAGCAGTTTGCTGTCTCCCTGACAGCTACGTAATATGATGAGGTAGAGGGTGACACAGATTTGGGTGTGAAGGCTGGTCTTTTTTTGGTTCACTGTTGGGTGTGATTGTGTGTGGGGGATAAGGGGGCCATGGCGTCACTGTGTGATCCACAAATAGAGCACTTGCATCTGCGATCCAGCTGGATATTCAAAAAGCAGACAGGCATCTCTGCTGCAAGGCGTTGAAGCAGCCTTCTGCTTTTTTTTTTTTTTTTTCATCTCCATCTCTTGTTCTCCGTCCCAAGTTCCCTGTTTGTTACTGGACAGGCTGACAAAGCATCGGAAAACAAAGGCAGGCTTACACACACACCCACACATACACCTACACTTAAATTTTAATCGTACTCGCAATCAAGATTTTTTCCTCTTCAAATTAAACATGAAATAACAATGCTAGCAGACATTTGTAGACCAGGGCTATTTAACATTCATGTGGCTGAAAGTCAGTTTAGGGAGCTTGCATTCATTGGAGGGCCACATGAGAAAGAATGTCCTGAAATCTAAATTAAGTTGAAAAACACTTTATTATTTATCATGATTTAATAATTTATCATGCATTCAGAACTCTTGCCCCTCAGATATGATGTACTCGGGGATGGTCCATATCTTCTTATTTGTGCCTCTCTCATACAGCAGTTTTTGTATGCATACATGAATTACTTTCAGTTTTATTCTCAAATATCAAATATTTGAGATCCCCCCCTCAGCTATTGCATTATCTCAACAGCAGCTATAGATTTAGGTGTTCCTTGTGAGTTGTGAACATGTTTGTGGTGGTTTGAGCTCCGAAATCAGACACTAAAGAGTGTGCGGAAAGGAACTATTGAATTCACAAACGTACCTTTGATTGGAAAAAGCAATTTTTCTAATACTATTACGCATCAGTGCACCACTGTTCACCAGCATATTAGATAAATGCATCACTGAGCACCCATATCCTCAGCCTCATTATCCTGTGCAAGAGGCGCTGCACATCTGCCGTGATTCTTAATAGGATACCAGTTGTAAACAAAACTTAAACTTTTCTTTGCACAGAATGATTTTTGCACTCAGCATTGTCTTGTGGGCCTAGAAACACAGAGGATTGGCTCAGGACAAATGGTTTGCACTGATATTGTCATTATAACTTTGTCCATTTCATATCTGTTATTGATAATATCCTCAGAACAGCTGCTGCTGCGGCAGTGTTTTCCTCGCCCTCTTTTTAAACTGATGAAGCACCTCTGTTGGACCAAATCCCCAAATAGCACAAAGTTCCAGGAAGAGTCTTACACTGTGAACACAGAAAACACAGTACTTCTCACATCCAGCTTTTTAATGACCAATCCCCACCATTTTCTAGCTCTGAGACTCCAGTAGTTTTCCAGGCTGTTCAGACATTGTGGGACTTTTTATTCTGAAGGCCTGTTGATAATGTCACATCCTAGTCATAACAATGTGTATAACACTTAATGCTCACCTAGGATCAGTTAGTGATCAATTGCACACGTTAATCTGTCCTGCGGATGTGTGCAATTGATCACATTTGCACACAACCAACCCACCGCACAGTAATCATCACAAACAGACAGGGGGATGGTTTAGTGGGAAGAAGCAACACATTGCCCAGTCTACAAATCATGTCTCCCACCAGCTCATAAAACACCATCATTAGCACAGTGTGTGTGTGTGTGTGTGTGCGTGTGTGTGCGCATGTGCCTAATAAGCCTTAACAGTGCCTGATTGGGCTTATGAGGTACAATATTACTCAAACAATTATCACATATAAATCACCATCATAAAGTTACAAACAACCCTGTCACAGATAAAACAGTCAAGGCTGCCCGTAACACCACCCTCTTTGAGAACGATTATTGTTATAGTTATATAAAAGCTTGAGCAATGAGGTAGTGTAGTGACCCAGTCTATCTGTAATAGACATACACTTCACACTCACTCATGCCCTTGCCCATAACTGAACAGCATTTTCATGTTGTTGCCAGGGAGGCCAGAATTTATACCGAGGCTGTGGTCCTTGGCCATAGCTGGAGTCATTTGGGTTAAGTGCCTTTCCTCCAGGGAAGGGCAGTGTTATTGAGTACCCACTGGCACTACACATACACACACACACACACACACACACACAAACATATGGGAGTTTGAAAGGGTCACAGAGGAAAAGGCGCCCGTACATATGCTTGTGCGATTATCAACTAAAAGTCCCGCATGTGTGTATGTATCTGTGTCTGTCATGCAGACGCGCATGTGTGTGCACGCGACTCCTCACACACAGGTGTGGCCGTGTAGTACAGAAAATAGCGTTTAATGTGGTTAATGCAGGAAAGTCAGTAAATCAGTCTGCATTGATCTGTGAATCAATGTGGGTGATTGTTACAGTGTCTGCCGTCCACAGCTGCTTTATACTCTATAAAAGTGTCTCCTTCAGTTCATGAAATTCCTGCAGCACCTGAATGCAACAGGATTGATATGTTGATTAATCTGCAGCCTCTGAGAAGTGCCACGCCAGAGCAAAGTGCCGCTATGCATGGCTGTTCACTGCGTTATCTTCATTAAATCACCTCAAAAAAACCTGCTACAGTATAACCATACAGGCCTGTACGCACATCAGACTGATGGGTTATAAGTTTATATTATATTTTTTTGGCTACCGAGGCTTATCATAACCTTTTTTTTCCAACTTTTTTTTTTTTTTTTAGCAAAAGTAGCGTCTTATGTTTTATCCTCGAATCACATTGCAGTGCAAATGCTGTTGTGTAACATTAAATACTAAACTGTGTGACCATGTTCAAGGTGAGATACATTAGAATTATTGCTTAAATAGCGCTGGTGCAATATAATCTTATAAACTGTTTCACCAAATCTATTTCTTTATTTGTATGCCTCTGTACTGGTGATAGCCACGGCTGGAGGCATTATGTTTTTGGGTTGTCCAACGCTTCATTCATCCACCCCATTTTTTGTGAATGCTTAACTCAAGAATGACTAGAGGGATTTTCTTCAAATTTGGCACAAATGTCCACTTAGTCTCAGGGATGAAGTAATTAGAATTTGCAGGGTGCAAGTCAAAGGTCAAGGTCACTGTGACCTTTTTGGCCATAACTCAGGCTTTCATACACTAATTATGACAAATTTCACACAACTGTCTTTAGGATAAAACTAGAAAAGCACTCGGAGAGCGCAGACCTCCGCCAAGCAGCTTGGATTTCCCGCCATTTTATTATTTTATCCACTTCGCTTCAACCGATCACTATCAAAATTTTATCATCTGTTCCTTGTCTCATTATCAACCGTTCCTGAAAATGTCATCAAAATCCGTTCAGGACTTTTTGAGTTATTTTGTAGACAAACAAACAGACAAACGGACAAACAGACCAACGCCGGTAAAAACATAGCCTCCTTGGCGGAGGTAATAATTAAGTGATGATATTCATATCCTAAAGGTCAAAGGTCAGTGTCATTATGACATCATAATGTTCTGAAAATCATTTTACTGGCCATCAATCAACATCATATCTCAGGAACAGAGGGGAACAGATACTGGTGACACTAATCTTGGGTGTCCATCTTGAAACTGTGCTGAATGTATCGATCTTCTGTGCTGCTGGAGGGAAGATGTGTGTAAAGCATCCATGTCTTCACAGACATGGATGTAAACTGTAACTGCAGCTTGAGTGGCGCATAGAGGCTTACAACCGCAAGGCGGTAATTCTAGTTTATTTTCACCGTTACTGTAACTACCTGATGGAAAATCATACTCCATCTGTTTTTTAGTGTAAATTTGTAGTGATGTGTGTTTCAGACATTTTCTGAGGCAAAATGTTCCGTTTGCTGAGTCGTCGTCATCACTTTTAAATGTGATTGGCACCGCATTTTTTAGGGGTTTGCAGACCGGTGATGTGGCGCGCTGTGTTGGTATTTAATAATCACCACACCTGCTGATTGAGGCTACATTCACCTTCACCCAGCCGTTTGTATGTCGCGCTGCTGATGCACATACATGCACGTGCGGTTGCAGGATGTGTTTTAGGAGTCACACGTGCATCTGCATGGCTGAGTTTTACAAATTACACCCTGACGCATACACACGCACACACACAGGATTTTTTGTAAAAAAAAAAAAAATCACACAAACGTACAGTATGTACGTGCGTCTTGTCCTCTGAGAGTCTTTCAACCCCCATACTAACACACACACACACACACACACACACACACACACACACACACATTTAAATAACGTAGAGTGCACCCCAGAAAAGTTCAGAGTTGTTACCTTCACATCCACACACTTACACATTGTGATGGTGCCAGAGCAGTGGAACAACACATAAAAAAGACCCCTTAAATGCCCCAGCATGCTCTCTGGCACTGCTGAGAAACCACCAGAGAAGCCTTTTGGTTGTGTTGCTTGGCTCTGTGAAAGCTCTCATCCTCTTTTGTGTGCATGTGTGTGTCTGTGTGTGTGTGTGCTCCTACAGTATGCAATGCTGGAACCTATATTGATCATTTTGGGATGATACTATTCATAGAGCTGCTGTAGAAATTTAAGGATAGGCAGTGTATTAGCATCATCTTCCATCATCTATCTAACCAATTAAAATCTATCTAATTCCTCCATATAATCTATCCAGTATATCCAGTCTATTAGGAGTACAAACTACAGTGTTTGGCTGTTGGGTAGCTCCTTATGTGTCTGATCGCCTTGAGGAATTGGAATTGAGATGACAGTGATTGGTTGCCCCCTCTGATTTGTGGATGTATGACATATGTTAGAGATTGCCTGAGGGAAGAGGACTTCATGAACTGTATTCATAATGGTTTCTCATTATCCAGAGTAGGCAGGACATCATACAGTGGGTTCACTGAAATTACAGTTGGTGTGTTTAGCACTTCCTCTTTTAAAGCTGCCTTTGTTTTAATTTTTCAGGACAAACCTGATTAAGGAACATAATTCTCTGTGTTCTTTCTTATAATTGCATTTCAAACAGGCTTTGAATCAGACAGGTCGCTCAAAGGTTTCCATGAATGGTTGTTCGTAATGTATAGCATTTTCAAATAATCAGTATTTACTTTGCTTAGTGATAAGTGACTGTCTAGATTTAGTGTGTGTTTGGCCACACCGTCAAGTTTGAATAAGGGCCTAATGGCAGACTTTTCAACGTGCATCACACATCACCTCCAGCCTTGTTGGCCATACTGTATGTAGGTTCATTAAACCTGTGTCAGTATTATTGGATTACCTTCGGGGGCAATTTTGTACTGAAACGTGTGTGTTAATCACCATCCACTTGTGTGGATGTGTGTGTGTAGGCCTGTGCTTGTGTGTTGCACAGTATTTTATGCGTGTGAACGCCGAATGACAGACTGTTGGCCCCGCAGCCTGATCTTTTTTCCCACTGTGAAACATGCGGCACTTCCACCCGGGCAATCTGAATTATTTACAGAGTCAATCACCGGGCCGTGTGCTCTGAATCCCCATGTAAATTTGTGCTCTTCACTCTGGTTGGCAAGGAAGGCAGTTCTGCCCGCTGACACTAATCTCTCTGTTGTTATGGATCGACACTTTGCGACTTGATATTGCCTTAGCCTCTCAGCCACTGCTTTGCCACCATGATCCCATGTACTTTGTAGCTACTGATGAGATAGACATAGTGATAAAAATACAGTGCACACAACATGACTTATTCTGTGTTCATTTGTCAAGTGTGATGTTGCAGAGTAGCATCTCAATCAAGGAAACTGATCCAGGCGCAGATATACTTTTTCTTTTGAGTGTGCAGTTACTCTGGAATTGCAGTTCAAGGGTAACGAGCAGACAACTTCCAATGATAGAAATACTTAACATGTATTGCAGCATTACTGTAAAGCTAAGTGGTCACAATCACAATAAAAAGCTTGCACTGAGTGTAATGAATACCGTTCTGTAGTATGGTGACAGGCAGCGATGGATTATAATCTCGATTATATAATCATACCCTTTCACATAATACTCACCTCACACAGTAGAGGTACCGTGGATTTGCATGTGTGTGTGCCCATATTTGCCATTTAAGTGATGACGTCTCATTCTTTCTTCTTTCAGGACAACGATGTGAGAATCATCATTGGCCAGTTTGACGAGAACCTTGCCTCCAAAGTCTTCTGCTGTGTAAGTCCTCAGCCTACACTCAGTTGTAAATGAAAGTGTACATATATGAGTTTTGCCAATCGATGTCTCGCCAACTGTACCAAGAAATCTTTTGTTTGGTATGCAATTGGTTCAGTGTTCTGGGTGTCATAATTTGGCCTTAGATGGGCTCATAATAAGTTTTGCCCTTGGTGCTTTGTGCATAATTTTCTTTAAGCCAGCATTTTTCAACCTGTGGGCCATTGCTCACCAGTTGGCAGCAGATGTACTCCCAATCGGTTATGGTAATTGGTTTTGGTAATTCACAGAGTTAGTTATTTTTATATCTAAATGTGCTCGAAAATCATCAAATAAAATTGCAAAATTTCAGTGACCAGTTACGTTTAAATATCACCACATCACCAGGTAGAGACAAACAGGTTTTGCCACTGGGAGCCAGTCAGTGTTTCTTCAGTTGCAGTGACACAAATTGGATCGGTTTATGAAACAAAAAAGTGATGTGTGAGACAACCCTGGGCCGGTAAAAGCTCCAAAGCGTGTGGTGAGGAAATATGACCCTGAATACATTTAATTTGGATTCATAACGGCAGCCAGTGATGCTAAGCCGAAAGCACAGTGTGTTGAATGTGGTGAAATCCTGTCAAATGAGGTGCTAAAACCACTGACGCTTCATAGACACTTAAACACAAAGCAGCCAGGATGTGTTGGGAAGCCAAAAGAATATTTCCTGAGGAAAAGGGACAGGCTTCAGTCACAACAGAGAGTCATCAGAACATCATCAGCTGACAGTGGCATAACATATTTACAGCCCAGTTTATTATTATTTGGGGTGGTGGTCCCTAGAAATTTTTTATCAATCAGAAGTGGGCCTTAAGTTACAAAAGTTGAGCTAAGTTGCCCCTACCCAGACTCTCAGGCCAGGCTCTATTTGTTTAAACGCCAGCAGCAGTAATTAAGCAACAATAATCACAAAAATAACCTTCATAAATCATACTGTATCTCCTGCTGTTACTGTACATTGCCTAACCCTTCATTTGTTTGTACTCTTCCCCAGGCGTATAACTTGAACATGTTTGGCAGTAAATACCAGTGGATTATCCCCGGCTGGTACCAGGGCAACTGGTGGGAGCAGGCCAACAGCACCAACTGCACCACCAAGAAGCTGCTCACAGCCATGGAGGGATACATCAGTGTGGACTTTGAGCCGCTCAGTGCTCGCCAGATCAAGGGCATCTCAGGCAGGGTGAGTGACACCCAGCGTTCTTCAGAAGAAAGTTTTTATTCTTTTGTAAGATTTTGACCTTATTGATGACACTGCTGTAGCTGCAAACTTAAGTTTACCTGCGACTGTGAATATTACCTGAGAAAACATGAGAGAACTTTCTCCATAAAGAGCCATTTTAGATGCATGTTTTTAAACCAGAGATCTCTACCAAAATCAATCATGGGATTTGTTTTCACACTGCATTACCCAGCACAGGAGCACTGATGCTAAAAGAGCATTTCCAGTAACATTGTAGCTCAAATAGTGTGGAAAATAATCCCTTCTCCCTGGACAAAGTTTCACCAGTGATAGTGAATTTGAATGAGCCAACATGAATGTATCTTCTTAGGAAAAGCAACATATCCAAAAAGCTTGGAGATGCACTCGTTTTGATCTTGTCTCTTTTACCTCTCCATTAGACCCCTAAGGAGTACGAGAGGGAATACAGCCGAGAGCTTCAGCAGAAAGGTGTGGAGGCTAGCAAGTTTCACGGCTTTGCCTACGATGGGATCTGGGTCATTGCTAAAACGTTGACCCGAGTGATGGAGCTGCTGCGGGTAAAACAACGGCAGAACACCTACCACAACTTCACTGTGGATGACCGCGAAGTGGGAAAAATGGTGCTGGACGTCATGAATGAGACCAACTTCTTTGGTGTTACAGTAAGTTATTACCATTCGTTTCAAATAATGTAAAAATACAGCACGGTCTGACATGTTAGAAATTATAATGTGTGTCAATTCAATTCAGTTATTAGCATGACCATACTGAAACATTATTGCCAGAGCACATCGTACAAAATAGTACAAACAGGGAAAAAGAGCAGCTTTTAAAATGCAAACATAGTGTTGTAGTACTCGAGATCGGTCTTGGTCTCGAGACCATTTTTTTGAGGGTCTTGGTCTCGTCTCGGAATCGAGGGCATTTTTACTTGGTCTTGTCTCGGTCTCGGACTGGGCGGACTCGGGTTTTTTGAATGAGACCGGTCGAGACCACCGCTGATGCTTTTTGTCCGTGCTTTACTGATAAGAGTGAAAAAGACCATCTCAAAAACAGCTAATAACTTCAAATCATTGGTAGCATAAAGATTTCCCCCAGCTGCAGCTGCTACCTGCCCGGTGTCAGCGTGAGTGACTGACACGCCCCCTGCACAAAGAGGATGGAGACAGCAGGAGGAGAGGCTGTGTGAACTCAAAGATTTGTTTCATTGTGCTCTGCAACAACAGAGCAGATATTGTTTTTGTTGTTATATTTATTTAACCCTATGGGCCCGAACGACGCATAGTGCGTCCAAATTCACACCTGTTCTTCTCTACTGATTTTCTCCGCGACTGTCATAGCGAGAAGCCACGCATATCACGTGAAACAGCGGAATTATAGCTTTCCGACAAGGCCAAGCACTTGTCGGTAGTCCAATGTTTTCACAGCGAAAAAAAATGATAAAGTTACACTAAAATTATGTATAACAGAGCTTTCATACAGCTCTGACACTCCATCAGACTTTGTATGACAAGACCAGCCACTTCACCTTTGCGCACCCAGACATCTGTAGCCTAATTATGCATGCATGACAGGGCCGTAGTCACCATATACATTGAGGGGGACACGTGCGCCCCCACCAATGCCCAAAATGTTCCCCCAGTATATAACTGAAACTGAAAAACAAATATTATCTTGGAGGACATCATTGCACTTGGTTGACTATTTTTCTATTATCTTAGATGTAAATACTGCATGTTTCTTTCAGATAAAACACATTTTTGACTTGTGAATGAGTCAATGGAATTTCTTGCAATAATGAAAAAATACTGGCAATTATGTCTGCCTGGCACAAACCGCATGTTTTGGACAACTGTGAAGTGACAGAATGTCCCAGCATCATGGTTCTTATATTGCCAGATTCCAGAGAGTCTCCCCTCTTCATATATGGCAGAATATGTCTTTTTCCAACTTGCTATGGTGAGATACATGTAAAAATGTAAGAATTTAGTCACACAGATTTGTTTTTTTCATTGATAAAATTAAATATTAATATAAAAATAAAATACAGGCACATAGATGGACATGAAATGATGGCAAATCTGGATAGCCCACATTGTCCTGAAAAAAACAAGATATAGCATGTGTATGTAGCCTTTATAATGACTGTGATATGAGCTTAAAAGTAAAGGCAGTAAAAACACCCCAAAAACACCTAGGGCCCATAGGATTAAAAGCAAACTTAAATAAAAAAAAACTCACATTTTAATGTTTTTTATGATTTTCCTTTGATATATAAAGGTCTTGGTCTTGTCTCGGTCTCGACCTCTAAATGTCTTGGTCTTGTCTTGGTCTCGGTACTCTCTGTTCTCGGTAATGTCTTGGTCTCGGTTGGTGCGGTCTTGACTACAACACTACGCAGACAATGAAACAAAATGTTAACATTATTATTGCAAAAGCAACAACCGTCGCAACAGTATTATGTAATGCAAGCTGAACTTAATGATTAGCAGTATGTCTTTCTCTTGTACGCTTAGACACCAGAGCACCCGTCGATTACACTTACGGCTCATTTATGCTTAAGATTAAATACATATATGTACACAGAGGGAGCCTGCTGTTCATAGTCTGCATTCATTTCATCCATATTTGTGCATGTTTTATGAATGCTTATGGACAAAGACAACACAGAGTAGTACCACTGGAGATTGTGGGGGCAGTGTTATGTAGACTAAGCAAGATAAGACCATCTAGTTGACGTGTCTATGCCAATATAAACGATGCATGAAAGTACAAGGGTGGTGACGGTTACAACGTCTGAAATGCATGGATCCATTTTCGTGCTTAAAGGGAGTTTAAATGAGCCTTTGGTTGACATGTGTGAACACAAGGATTCTCTCCAGACCCTCACATGCTGTACATTAACATGTACATGCAGGCAAAAGCTTTATTTCAATATTGATGAGACACCAACAGTGAGGGAGAGGGAGAAAGACACTCATACACACAGTAAATATGTAGATACAAACACGGTTTAAAGGAACAAAAACAAAACATATATAATATGTTACTGCTGACAAAGAACCATTTTTTTTCATCTTGTGTGTATGCATATAAACTATACTGTGTATGTTCTATGTTTGTACAGTATGGAGTGGGCAAATGTCAGAACAGCACATAGAGGCATTAATTACTGCTCTGTAAGGCTGGCAGCCTGTTTGCAGAGAAGGTTATTTAGCCTTCCTTGTCTCTGTATGAAGCCTAAAGTGGTGTCATTTGGTGCTGCCGACTCACTCCAATGCATTCAAGATTGATCCTGGTGGCTATGCTAGCTACAAGCTGTGTGTGTGTGAGAGAGAGAGAGAGAGAGAGAGAGAGAGAGAGAGAGAGAGAGAGAGAGAGAGAGAGAGTGTGTGTGTGTGCGCGTGCATACGATCACTCTCACTTCCTATTGAGCTGTTAGAGGATATCTCCTGTTCCCTCGTAAAGGCCACTCCATTATTAGAGGATACTGTGCTGCTCCCAGCCCAGACAGCCAGTAGGCATGCAGGGCCTTACAGTAAAGCAGAGCATTACTCATGTTATATCATACTCATAACCGTGTTTACAAATAAATGGCAAGTGGAAAATGCAAGTGAGGAGAGGAGGGAGAAAGATTGGCTGTACTGGAAAATTACAGAGGGTAGGGTTCAATAAATGTTCAGCATTTTCTCATAAACATTGACTGAATGTGGAAGGGTGAGAGACTGAAGTCAAGGTGGGACACAAAGGAGAAATGGATAGAGATACTGAAATAGAAATATAGATTCTAATACAGTGTTTATATCAAGAGAACAAGAGAGAAAGAAAGACAGAGGAAACGAGCCATGGAGAAAATCAGTACAGGCTACTGACTTGTGGTGAGGTCCTCTGGGGCTAGTGTCCCTGGGGAACGTATATGTGTGTTGCAGCACTCTACCAAATCCTCCTGGTCGTCATTCCTCCCTCACCCCTCTACTCTCCCCTCTCTCAGCACAGACCCACTCAGGGCTGCTGATCAGGAGCAGGCTGACACTGAGTCTTTCCTCAGAGGCTCAGGGAAGCAAAGCAGTGCAGGAATATTGATGGCCATGTAGCATTTCATTCACACTTTACTCCGGGCGCTCAAACAGATAATGAAGTCCTGTTAGGTTGTTTGAAAAGGCCTGCAATCTTATTTTCTCCTTTCATATCAGTATTGACTGGTATTGATCCTTTACATGCAGCCATCACCACGCATAAATGTACTAGTGTGCCTCACAATATACTGAAATCTAAAGTAAAAGTGCTCGTTATGAAAAAGAGCCCTTTTGAAAGTGTTATCTTAAAAACAGTAGAGTAAATGTTAAAACTTTTATAAAATGAGGTGGGCTGAGATGGGCTGGAGCCTATCTCAGCTAACATTGGGTGAGAGGCAGGGTACACCCTGGACAGGTCACCAGACTATCACAGGGCTGACACATAGAGACAGACAACCATTCACACTCACATTCACACCTACGGCCAGTTTAGAGTCACCAATTAACCTGCATGTCTTTGGACTGTGGGAGGAAGCTGGAGTACCCAGAGAAATGGGGAGACCCGGGGAGAACATGCAAACTCTGCACAGAAGGGCTCCCCCACCCCGGGGATCAAACCCTCCCCACGTTGGTGAAGATTTTCAGTCATCCATGTCATGGTAATCATAAGTGCTATATCGTAGGCAACTGGACTTGCCTGCGTTACTTGAAGATGTTTCACCTCTCCTCCAAAAAGCTTCTTCAGTTCAAAAGACCTTAATTGGATGAGAGGGGAGAAACGTCTTCAAGAAATGCAAGCAAGTCCAGTTGCCTACGATATAGCACTTATGAACCCCCCCCCACCCTTCAGTTCGAACCAGGAACCCTCTTGCTGTGAGGCAACAATGCTAACCACTGCACCAATGTGCCACCCTAAACATGTCATAGTTGGTCTTAATACCAAACTCAAAGAAACTTTAGCTTTTGTGTTAGCATTACATTAAACTGTGGTTGGTTCTGACATTGGCTGTCCCTGACACCATTATAATATGACTTGTCTGTTGCTTTTTTAGGGTATTAAAAGCATTTGATGGTATATTAACATTCAATGATGTCTTAATGAAAAGTCCAAAATTATTCCACTGTAGTTGAGGTCAAGGAAAATATTCATGATAGCTAATGTCAAAATGAACCACATTTAACAGTTTAAAGCTGTAGTTGGTAATTAAAAAAAACTACTGAAACCGTCACCATATCCACACAGCAGTAAAACAACCAATCAGAGCCAAGGAGTCAATAACACATCTGTCAATCATGTCCATCACTGCTCGTGAACTGAGGTCAAACTGTCAAACTAGGCAGCGCTGATCAAATATGGATCAAAATTCTGTTACTGCATTGCCTATTTCTCGCCTTCAGAATATTTAAGTGTTTTATTAAATGAGAAACTTGGTCCAGCTGGTGGGCGATGCTTGGTGAATCCCTCAGCTAGCTGCGTTAGAGATTCCTTGGCTCTGATTGGTTGTTTTCAGTGTCTTAAGGTAGATTCTAGCAAATGTTATTAGAGGCAGTAGCAGGAGGAACCTTATTTTTTTCAGAGACTGTCTCATACCGTTAAATACTTTGTAAATGTAGTGACAGTTTCAGCAAATATGACAAATGTAGTGTTATAAAAGTGACCAACTATGCACTAATATAATGTAGACACAAAAACTGAATACTTTATTGTGCCTGCTATGGCATGTTTGTGACAGATTAATGTCAAAGATATCTTGAACATTGTAAACTTTGCATTAAAAATGACATAACTGACCAAATGACACTAAATGACAACGGTCATAAATAATCATAAAGACTCCTCCATGTTCATGACAGGTGTCTCGTAATGGTTTTGACAGTGTCAGTCTGATGCGCACCCAGATAAAGTGTTGCCAAAAAAATAAACAACATTGTTTAATAAGCTTAACTCTCTTTATGGTGACATTTTTATTTATAAGAACCACAATCCTCACTGGAATTAAAACAGTCTGAGCAAGAATGTTGTTCATGTGGTAAACAATTATGCTGTTTAAAGACTGCGGCATTGCATAATAATTAAATGCGTGTTTGTACCCGAAGATTTGCAAATTATCGACGTTTAAAGCTTTAAAGGGATTACATGAAATGAGATCAAAAGTGTTCCATGTATGCAGCACACTCTTAGCACATAGAAACTTCCACCCACACACGACAAAGAAAAACACAGGAAGGCAATCTCCCTTCCACATAGCATACATCTTTCATGCTATTTTCGTATTCAGATCTCAAAAGCAGCGATTACACAACTCGCTTGATTTGCGTGTGAATCACAATAACTTCCACTGGGTTTCCGATAAAGTTCATCCATGTGCAAGCACCAGTGAAATGGCAAATTCTGGCTGGTTACCCTTGGTGTAAATGTCATGTGTGCATGTGTGCTTGATCATATGGGATCACACCCTGACTTGAGCCTCGTGTCTTTCCTGATGTCACGATTTTACGCCGTCTGTTTGCGGTGTAAACACACAGGTCTCGTGGGACCAAACCGTGTCCATTCGGCTCTGATCTCAGCGCTGCTGCTGAATCCGTGGCAGCTGCAGCAGGAGGAGAGTGATCACGGAGGGCTCCACAGTATTGATCTGACTGCTGTCAGGGCCGTAGAGAAGAAGACTGACATTAGCTGGGAGAGACTTTCAGGGCATAGAGAGTGCAGCGAGAACCACAGGATGATGTAAACTGGAATTCACCAGGGAGGGCCGCATGTGGAGAGAGACAGCGCGTTGTGACTGGAGATGACAAGTGTGTGGGCAAAGGTTTGTTTTGGTGTTTTTTAGCTGTGGTCGGTGGTCATCGTGTTGGTATCAGTATCTTTCTAGGTATTGGTGAGTAACACAACCTGAGGCTTGACAGTCAGATAGACACACTGATGTGAAACAGAGGGGGCAGGGTTGTGCGCGTCTTCTTTTCTCTCTTAATGTGTGTGTATGTATGTGCATCACAGCTACATTCACATCAGATGTGTTCCCACCTCAAACTCTGAAAACCCCGGAGGATGTCACACCTGCAGCCCACAGACTGACATCTCATTTGACCCCAGCACACCTGTCACTGGCAGTATTCTCACCTCCACTGACAAAGTGATACCCGACCACCTCCACCGTCTCACCTCAGAAAGACACATTTGCACACTCACAAGCCTAGACACAGTGATTGCTCCATCAGCCACCATTGTGGCTCAGTTCTGAACATCCTTTGAATACTAGACAAGGGACACCTGTCTGGGTCAATACACTCTAGTGAGGTTGCCTAAGCTGCAGAGGAGCATAATACCTTGTAGAAAGAAGCTGTACAGTAGCTTCTTTGAATAATGGTCAGTGGAGGTTAATTTAATCTTTGTAGCACACACATTTATTTCCAATTGAGAATGTCAGAGCCGGCGCCTCTGCATATGTTTGATACACTTTGCATATTCTCCAAACCATGTATACACTTGAGAGAACAAATTGGGGGGCTGTTAAAATAACTACGCGCCATTTCAGCGAGGTTCGTGATAGCTCCACTTTTGCTGATGTGAAGGGCAATTATGGTGACGATGCTAATGCACAGAGAGAGCATGACGGTGCAGCTACTCCAGAAACCTGGATACATACACTCACAGTCATTACGGGTTCAAGTCAAGTTCCCCTCTTTTCAACCCACGTTGTCTGACCCTGTTTACACACCACGGTTAACTGAATGTAATACCTAATGAGCTGAACCGAGGTGCACTGTGCTGTCCTACTTACACATCAGGCATAATTTCATAGCATATTGTAGGAAAGAGCAGCATGTGATGAAAGGAACTTGTTAGCGTCAACAAGTCAGATTGACACCGCGGTGAGAAACTGTCAGCAGACGATCTGTTGTACACCACCAAGGTAAAGGCAACACCGGAGACCCTGCGTCTCAGGAGTGGCTCGCACAAATGCATCATCAGGGACACATGCATGTACACGAGCGTAATGTGACGACATATTAAGTGCATACACGGCGACATGCTTGCACGCGCACACTCAGTCAAACATCAAAGATGCCACACAAAGACTGGGATTCAAACAGGGGGGCGGGATCCTGCTCTGCTACTTCAAAGCTTGCCATCTTTTTGAGGCAAAATTGGCTCTCCAGCTTCCTTTCCCATATTCCCCCCTCAGCTGTCTTTTAATCAGCCAATGCAAATGCTTTCTCTCTCTCTCTGTCCCTCTCTCTTTCTCTCTATCTTTCTATCTATCTATCTCTTGCTATCTATCTCTTTATCTCGCTCTCTGCTCTCACCTGTTTTGTTAGCCAGCCAGTAATATGTAAACCCAGTTAAATGTGTAATTAAGGAGCTCTGTAAGCAGATGGCGGGCTGAATTAATTGAACAGTCTTGGTAGATGAAGAGGGAGAGAGAGATAAAGAGACAGAGGGAAGGAGAAAATAGAACAAGAGAGAGAGAGAGAGACGAAGAGAATACATGGGAGAGATAAGGCGACAGAAGCCAAATTGATTTGAATATGTCTTACGATATTGCCACAAAGTTGAATTGCTTTTGTCTACCTTGTCTGTGTTTGCCAGACGCTGCCTGCCTCGAAATTGCCTTGTCGTGCTCCTGTGGAGTTTAAATCAAAGACGTTCAATTGTTATTTTTTTAAGGTAGTTGTTTGACCGATAAACACACACTTTTTGGAGTGAACTGAAGATTGAGAAATAAAAATTTAGAGTAAAATCTTAGCTACACTCACTGGCCACTTTTTCTGCTGTCTTTGAAATGCTATCTGAGCCCAGATTTGCACAGTAAACCAGGCAGCCTTGCTGACTTGATGTTGTTGCAAAGATATTAGCAAATGAATTGGCCCAAAGATAATTTTGTTTACCTCCATAAACAGATCAATTTTGGCCACTTCTAATCAAATGAGATGCAGTGTGTGCAGGAGCCAAGACTCTGCCCTTTGCCTGCGAACGTTCCAGTATCAGGGAAGCACTGTGCATAAATTTAGTTGAGCTAAGCTTCTTTTTTTCTCCACTGAAATTCACTTTACTGCTCATATTGCATCTTCTTTAGCAGAATATAATGATTTTATAACTGTTAATATGTGTACTGTATGTGTTTTTAATGTGTTGTTTTATATTAGAAATACATGTTTTTGTTTTTCCTTCTCCTCAGGGCCAAGTCATGTTTCGGAACGGAGAGAGGATGGGCACAATAAAATTCAACCAGTTTCAAGGTATGTGTGACACTACTACTCCTCTGCTCCTCAGATTGAGCTGTCTTGATTTTCTCCTCAGGTTTAGTCATTTGAAGGCTTCTGTGTAAATTGTTCACAAACCTTTACCTTTGCCCAATTTTTTTTGAACAGAAAACATTGTTTCACAGTAACAAAGCCTTTGTTTTGCCATTTTCATGTCTGTCACACCCACCTCCAGCCGTCCACACTTGCTCCTGACGTGACTCCGCTGAGAATTTTCCTATAATTTGTTTGAATTCCAACTGCTTCGCGTCTGTGTTCAATAAAACCTGCGATTGTTTCAGAAATGTTGCAGGATTACCACAGTTTTTGGAAAGCCACTTACAGTTTTTCTCGAGCCAGAAGGCTGCCACGGTTGATATACCAGTACCGATAATGGAACCTGACCAATAGGGCTTAGGAAGAGCTCGCAGCAGAGTCACACAGTGTACATGGGGAAGGGAGGCTGAAGGATTTAACAGTTTTGAAGTCTGAGGCTTTGTACTCACATTTATCTCATTAGTTGTTTTCCTAGAGAGGATAGTCATTATTTGCATGACTGCAAGGGTTGTTTGTCAGAATAACATAAAACGTTTTAGACTGTCGTTTTTGTGAGGAAAGTCCCCACAAGCCTTTCTGTATGGAGCTGCATGTCCTGCCTGTATGTGTGGGTGCAGTTAGGGGAATCCAAAACTTGAAAGAGCAAAGCCCATGATGCTTTACTGTGCTTGATCTCCTCTGTGGTGACGGGCTATATGTCTGGACTGTCAAGGTTTGCACATATAAACATGTTTCAGTATTCTCTGTCCTCATAGCATCATCCTGAGGTTGTTTTTGAGCCGGCAGGGCCCGCTGAGTGGGAGAATAACCCAGAGATTGCATCTTGATGCAGGGGATTCCCAGCTCCCAGGCTCCCCAGACTATATGTAGCACACTGCATGGGGTTGTTCAGTCCTCTCTGCCTAACCATCTTATCTTCCCCACTGCAGAGGGGCTCGATCCCTCTGGCTGCATACATCACGCTCTGTGTGTGAGCGTGTGTGTGTGTGAGATAGAGGACAGTATGTGAGTGTTCATGCACATACTGGTGTGTGGCTGACCGTGTATATGTGCAAATGTTACAGCCCAGGCTCTGTGGGTTTGAGAAAAAAAGAAGACGGCGTATGATTTATAGTAATTTAAATAGTATTTTATGCTTAACTAAGACAAAATTATTACAGTAAACGAGTCTGTAGTATGAAAGTAAGACTTTGTAGTGTTGCATGGACATTGTGTAGTGAAAACAAGAACATTTACAATGCCAGAAATTTACCATCAGGGTAGTGGGTGGTGAGTGAAATAGATGCAGTGTTCCACTTCCATGATAAAATAGCAATTGCACACAGCATGTACTTTATACTATTTATAGCATAAAGCTTTTTTCGTAGTTAATAGACAAGTGATCAGTGTTCTCGTCCGTCCTGCACTAACAGGAAATAATAACCAACATGTGCAGACGGGCATTAACCAACCTGCTAATGGAACGACAGAATCAATACACCTAAAGAGAGAGCAGCTCTTAATACTTAATACTTCTGTTTTTTTAAGTCATCCCCTCAAGCACCACAATCCACTGTTTCTTTCTTTTCTTTTGCAGCTGTAAGTAGCTCCTCTCTTTCTTTCTTTCTTCTTCCAATCAACCCCTCCTAGCTCGTCAAATTGGTCCCTACACGTCAAACTATGGCGCTCTATGTACCCTTCCAGCGCCAGTTTTGGATGCTCAGGGACAGTTAAAGCTTGTTACATACATCATCTCTTTTCAAAATAAACTTATATTTTTACAGGAAATTAACAGTTTCTGCTCATTAAATGCATACAGTTTTTTTTTTTCAAAATAAACTTAAAAATGAAGGCAAAACTTTTTTTTTTAAGTCTGCAGGTTAGGTTTACGCAACAAAAGTACGTGGTTAGGTCTAGAAAAAATGGTTTGGCGTAAAATAAGTGCATTAGTTTTTAATTTAATGTCACATGCTATACCTTACAAGCGTAGTATGCTACACATACTAGCACATCACAAGCCATAGGGTCCAGATTTCTCCTCATTTATTAGTTCAATGTCCGCACACACAGTTTAATACTTTCGGCATTATACTTGCGTTTGGCTGTGTCGTCAAGCTAGTTAGCTGCCTTTGTCATGTAGCTGTAAGTCACTCACTTTATGGCATGAAACGGCACCTTAAAATAAAAACTCTGTGGCGGAAATTCACTATACTTAACAATAAAGTGTGTTTTTTTTTTACACACCACTGAACTGGCACACTCCAAGCTCATTAAACGCATTAAAATAACTTGATTGACTTTTCCCACGGGACATAAGCAGCGGTCTACCCTGCTGCCTGCCTTAAGCCTACCTTCTCGCTCTTTATTCAGCGGCAGTTGCTTGGAGCGTCAAAACATATTGCCTCCTGGTGTGTCTCACACCGCTGCTAAAAGGTGTCTCGTGATACTGATACTGGTGCATTTATGGCCACTAACCAAATGGCAGTATTAGACGAGTTGTGAGTGAGACCAGGTTGGTGCAGAGCATTGTGGGACAATAATGTACATCAAGAGCAGGCTCAAAAAGAGAAGTATTTTTACCTTTTTTTTTAAATTGTGAACACACTAAAGACTGGAAACCTGCCTAGAAGTATCATGTGGTGAGACACAGGTACAGACAGACAGGTTGTGGAGCCATCTGAAATACATGGAGTCCACCTGACATACATGGGGCTGCATGACATAAGGTCTGAAGACCCTCCTGTCTCTACCTGTGGGAGGTCAGCTGCAAGAATAAAACCAAACAGCAGGAGGAGCACTAACAGGGACAGAGTGCTGTCATATCAAATAGAAAAAAGTGCTTGTGTGTGTGTGTGTGTGTGTGTGTGTGTGTGTGTGTGGTTAACCTGTTTGAATGGGCGGTGATGGGGCAGCCGTCTAAATTAGGGTTTTAAAGCTTTGGATAAGCAAGGAAACTAAATGCTATCATGGCTGAAACGACGAGTGTTAAGGCTTGATTTTCATAGATTTTGAGAAAAGAGTACATGAATGCCTCAGCCTGAGTCATAGCCACACACTTCTATTAATTTGTGACATATGCTTGTGTCCTTCTCTGTGTTTCGCTTCCTCTTCTACCCTGAACTGGCCTTCCACTGTGTGTCCAACGCATACTTTACTCAACCAAATCCTCCCCTGTGTTACAGCTCTCTCTCACTATCTTCTTCCACCTTTATTATATCTCCTCCATCCCTCCTTAACCTTCACTCCATCACTTCTTCCTCACTTGTCAGGGACCGTGAATTTGTCACCTTTTTGACACACCAAGAGCCCAAGCTGAGTGGAGAGGAGAGGAGGGACAGCCCCAGCTTGAATATTTCAAAAGGCAGTGATCCTCAACATGACCCTATCATCTGTCCTCAGCCTCTGATCCTCCATTTCACCCTGTCAGGCGTTCTTAGTCAGGGGCCTCGGCGGCTCTTATTCCCACTGTCTCTCATGGGGATAAGAGATAGCTCGCTACCAAAGGTCTTGATCGCTGTCGCAGTCCCTCCGAGTACAGATTTTAAATCAACACACTTCCAGGCATGGTAGAGGCATTTGTCATTCTGTACAGAGAGCAGAGGTTCAATAATATATTTATCAGGAGGGTGAGGTTGTGATATGTGCGGGTAAAAGGTTAAGATGTTTGGGATCTTTAGAGATAAATGATAGGATTTACTGTCTACAACACCCCTCCAGTAAGAATTAATTTCCTGCTTTTCTATCATCTTCTGCACGAATTTGAACTAGCAACACCCTCACTGCTGTCAGTTTACCTCCAGGCAATAGTCTTCTCACAGTCCTTTCAACTTAAATAGCTCACAAGAATATCATTGAACTGTACCACCAATGCTTTCAAATGAGGCAGCAGTTTTTTTTTCCATGTTAGAATTTCACAGATCTGACATGAAACAAAATAAAATGAACTTGATCAAAGACAAACTAATGTGTGCCGCGTGGAAAAGAACTAAATTAATTTAATCTCAATTACAAACACTTCTGCATAGTCGGGTTGGAATGTGTTGATATAAGATTTCTGGGATTCAGCATTTTATAAGAGTTACACTGCGAATGAGGTCCGGCCAATCACCACTTTGATATTTGAGTTTTTAAACCAGCGTGAGTCTCTGCTCCAAAGAAGACAAGTCATTTACAAAGAGGAGTAATATTCACAGGTTTACAGTGAAGTAACTAACCATTGGTTGAAATAACCACATTCACTACAGTACTGTACTTAAAAGATGGCTCCATTATTTCTTTGTTTTCTTTATATCATACTGTTGCTTCAGAGAGGTGTTTTTATGTATTCAAATCCAAAAAAATCTAATTTTGGCTGAAGCATGTATTTTGTAAAACATTTTCCCACATTACCTGACAAGGGTTTCTGCAGGATGATGTTGCTGCACAGTATATAAAATCCCAGTCTGCCTAATGTGCACCTTCTTCTTGATAACACCTATGTTATCAATCTTAAACTCCATGTTTGGAGAAGCAGATGGGGGAGTATCTTCTGGGGTGTCTTCTCAGCAGCAAATAAAGCAAAAATAGCTTCTTTTAAGATATTAAACATATGATTTTAGTGTAAACAAATGAATATGTCAGAAATTTCCTTGTCTTTACAAGTGTATTTAAACTAAGAACAAAGGAAACACTTCGCACATCTATTGAACAAGACAGGTGCGTTGGAGAGAGAAGACCAAAAGTTGCAAACGGACTCCCGCACACTGTCTAACTTGCAATATATAATTTATTTACAACGTTTCGGTACTAGACCTTCTGTTATATTTGTTGTAGAAATATTTAGAAAAAAATATTTATTTGTAATTGATTCACTTTATGTATTCCCCTTTAGACATGTGGTGTTTACTTTAGACTGATTTCACGCAGAGAGCTTTGTTTTTTGCTGTCTCTGTTTGTTGTGTGTTTCAATAACCCAATGATGATTTTGTCCCTCTGTGTTCCACGTGGGAATGGGATTGGTTGTGAAGAAACGACCGCTCCCTATTTAAGATGGCTTCTCATGAACGAAAAACCGTTGAAACTGCCTGATGAAGATCTAGTACCGAAACATTGCAAATAAATTATATATTGCAAGTTAGACAGTGTGCGGGAGTCCTTTTGCAAAAAAATGTATTAAAACTAACATCATAATTTGGGCTTTTGTTTTATCCATAACAGGAATTACGGTCTGGCTGAAATCAGCATGTGAAGGAATATTGTAAAAGGGCTCAACTACATTAAGCATGTTCATAAAGCCTGTGTTTTCCTCTGCAGTGAAACTGGTCTCATATTTGCAGCAACAAATATACCAATCCCGACTGTGATTTCTTCTGCCCTGTTTGGATCAATTGGGACTGGCTGCCTAAATGCTTCGGGCATGATGTTACCATGTCGAGTGTGCTCCTTGTTTTTGTCTAGTTCCAACAACTGACACACTGGGGTGAAGTCGTCGGTGTAACTTACTGTCACATACCGTTGTTTTTTATGTACCACTCTCTTGCCATCGCCCTCATAAGTCACAAACCAAAGTGGCTCCAAATGCTGGACCTGTAGGTTACTGGCGGATTTTCTGTTTCTGTTCTGGTAATGGCATTACTAACCACAATTTGCTAGCTTAGCATAGCTGCCTCCTAGAGTGTCTCACAGGAGTGGAATGCTTTGGTTTGAGGGTGGAAGCATGATGCCTGTTACATCATGTGGGCACTGAGATCATTATATTTCACACAATTTAAACTGTATATTTCATTTTCCAAATGTATGGGATAATTTATTGTATAGTTCGGTTTGTAATGCGTGCTTAACCAAAAGCCTTGTACCAAACGGTTCAATACAAATACATGTATTGTTACACCCCTAGTTTAAGCTGTGGTATTTTACTTGAGTACTTATATTCTGCTACAGTATACTAGTCCACTCCATTCCAGAGGCATGTATTGTATTTTATAGCCTACTCCAGTACATGTATTTGACAGCTACAGTTACGTAGTTAATGTGCAGTTGTCTTGACATGCCGTAAGTAATCTTCACAACAATTAAAATACTTAAATTTGGCTTCACCATGCCCAACTACATTACAGTCCTTCCATTAGTACAGTAAATGTTTAACAATAATATATAGTAATATAACACTGACAACATAGAGGTGATAGTTACTTCTTCACAATTTGACAGTGTGTCCTGTATTCATTGTTTTTTTCTCCTTGTGTCCTGTACAAGCTACAATTGGTAACTTTTCTGAAAATAACTTTTTGTTGTGTTTACTGAAGCTGTCACTGCTTTCTGATAGAAGAACATGAAATCCTGTCCCTTCTCCTCCTCCTCCAGCTTCCCATGACATTTGCCAGACAACCAAAAACAACCAATCAGAGCCGAGGAGTCTCTAATGCAGCTGTCAATCACTGCTCATGAGCTGCAGCCAAATTGTCAAACTAGGCAGCGCTGATCAAACATGAATCAAGATTCTGTTACTGCACTGCCTGTTTCTCCCTTCACATGTTTTCATAAACATACTGTAGTGTGGTGTTGGCGCACATGTTTATGAGTTAAGAAATTCACCACTGATTTTACAGATGTTTTAAGTTATTTAAAATGAGTAATCAAACAAAAAAGGTGTGATATGTCTTTGCACAGGCTGAGCGATAGGTTGAGTTTTACCATCCCACTGAAGCCATCAATATTCCCTGTGGGGATAGAGTGCTGGGATAGTGTTTTAGCATCTCAAAGGAAGAGAGATATACAATCCCCTCTGCTGTTTAGATTCTAACAAAGGACGTGGTCAAGGGAAACATGGTTATTGATCCTCGTTCAGCACAGAGAAGTTTGAGAAATACAAATCCTGTTTGTGTATGCACATAAAATTTACTGTTCTGAAATTGTCACATATAGCCTTTCTAACATTTTCAACATGGGCTGATGCTTTGATGCCAGAATTAGAGATCAAATGAGGTGATTCACAGAGAGTAGAGGAGACGGTAACGCAGTGCCCTGTGATGCTGCAATAGCTGATGTTATCTGTCATTTTCCTAGTCAAGGACAATGCTGCTGAGGAGTTCAATGGGCCTATAACAGTGATAACAAGCAAAAGCAGCGACAGATTTGTGCATGCACACCAGAAGAAATTGCAGGTTGTTTGTAGTGCTTACAGAGAAAGAATCAGAATAATCTGTCCCTTCTTCTCATCCCCTTCTTCTCTCCTCCCCGGTGTACACTCTAAGTGAGTAATCTTTATGAGTGAGGGAGAGCGAAGGCCCAGGCTTGTCTGACAAGGTCATGCTTCCTTCAGTATTACACCTGAGGGACTCATCGTTGTTTCTAAAAGAGAAAACACTAAATCCTGAAATAGCTGTATTTGAGCAGAACTCCACAGAGGCAGTGGTGTTTGCAGGCTGGGATGTACAGCAGCACACAATCCCTCAACTGTATCCAGGAAATATTAAAGTTAATGAGTATTGCAATATAAATACAGAGATCACATTGCATTTATGTATTGTTTTCTTCCACATCAGTTGAATATTCTTCTCATAATGTACATCCAAAGTCTGCTCTTGCTACATTTGAGGGTTTTTCATGTCTTCATCTGTTAGCTTGTTTCTACAATATCTGCTCTTTATTGCCCTTTAGTTTTCCTTGAGGTTAAATAAGCTGATAAAGACTGTGAAAAACAGGAAACCATTTCCTGTTAATATTAAGCTTTATCTGAAAGTTACAAATTGAGAATCTTAAAAGATAATCTCACTGAGTGCCTTAAAATATGATGTCAGGGACATATTTTGTTATATTACTACTGGATATTGTAAGATCTCCCTCTGATGTAAAGCTCTCTGTGAGGTTGTATGACTGTGCCAGACTGTACAGCTCACAGCAAAGCCAGGCCATTCTTCTCTCTGTTCAATAGGTGTTTTGAATTAGACTTGCTTGTTCAGTCACAGTAGCCTCTGTTACATTTTCTCCCAATGAGAATCACTGGTGCTACATTTGATAAACCCCTCAAGCCACTTTCTGCACTTATATCAGTGATCCATTATTTCTGTACTGTATTACATAATTAGGTAAGCCACCAGAAATATTTTGCTGGAGAATCAAGCTGAAAGACTGGTGTAACCATAAAGCAAATTGTTGGGCTGTAATGCCAACCTTAATGTCATTTTTAGCCTTGCGAGCAACATGGCTCGAGGGATGGCAAAGTTGGTCTATCAGTCTGTCGGTCCATTGTTTTTATCCAGACTGAAATATCTCAATATCTGGATAATAAGAATAATAATAATAAACTTAATTTACATAGCACCTTTCATACAAGAAATGCAGCACAAGGTTCTTTATAATAAGGGCAGTATAAGCACTGAGTGCCTCACATGAAAGTAAGCATTAAGGACATTAAACAGACAAGGCAATTCAATATATAGGACATTTACTGTAAAACAGTTTACCAAAATGTCAAGTTAGAAGCAAAACATTCAGCAACCCTGAGTGGTCTCACTCTTGGAAGAAGTCTTAAAGCAGAGTGACCTGGCAAACATTGTGATGGGGAAACATTGTCATGGGGAAATAGATGCCATTGGCAGTGCAAATTGTGGTAGAACTTCAAGTATTAAGATGAAGATAAGCGCAAGTTCTGGAAACGGCAACACACCCACACACACATGGAACGTTAGATATGATGTTTGTATGAGAAGGGGTATAAGAATGTTGGGTGAACTGCTCTGCAGGGTTGTCACATTGTTGCTGTATGTGAAGTTTGTATTTGTGTCTTCAATAAAGTCCCTGCAAAGGCTTCAAGATTGATCCCTTGTCATAAGACCCCTTCAACAGGATTAACTGATTCATAAAATCATGGAGTTGTAAAACTATAAATCATAAAATCAAGTAAGATTTGAAAAGAGTTGCAGCAGTGTGAAGCATAATTAGAAAGTAAAAGTGTAAACAAAAAGGAGTTTCAGACCTGTATCAGGAAGGTCGGAGCTAGATAAAGGCTAAAGTGAACAGATTCGTTTTTTGCTTTTCTTTTTTTTAAAAAAAAATATCTAGCAAGGTGGCTTGCCTTGATATCTATGGGTACTGTGTTCCATAGCTTTGGGGTGTAACAAAGTTTTACATAAATGTTTTTCAGACGTCATGTAAGGACTAGTGTCACAATATTGTAATTTTCTTACTACAGTATAATACCTTTAAAAATATAGATATTCAATACCATTTTAAATGCCACAGGGAAAAAAATACATTTTTGTTCAAAAATACATATAACAAGGCTATAACATGAACTTTCTTGTCTTGGTTAGTAGCAGTGAACAACAAAATGACTAACAATAAGCGAGAGTGAGAAAGCATAGCTGGTGCTGGTTCATTGATTCTGTGGAAAATGAGTATTGAAGCCATTTCAAGTATTCAGAATCAGAAATAAATAGATTTTTGGCACTACTCAGGACTGTGGTGATCCCCAAACTTTCCTCTACAGCTGCCATGAGCTTCACATTTGCAGTTGTGAGTGAAATGTCCCAAAAACTATCGGATGGATTACCATGATATTTGGTACAGACATCAATGTTCCTGTCATGTTATTTTCAGTCATGTTGTAATAACTGTGGTGACACCTTAACTTTTCATTTAGACATGGCAAATTGGCAATTGCTTTTGAAGTGTAAATCCAGTCCAGAAAATAGACAAAATGTTGTTGGCATCCAGTAGCCAGTTTGGACAGTTTGAGTACATGCATTTATTTTAATGTGTACATATATGTGTGTCTTTCCTTTTAACAGAGGGCCAGGAGGTGAAGGTGGGAGAGTACAATGCAATTGCTGATGTGCTGGACCTCAACAACAACTCCATAATGTTCCAAGGTATGACGAAGGCCAGATACTCTATGTATGTATGTCCCTGCATTTGTGTGTGACCCCATGAGCACTGAGACAGCGACGTAAAACTCACTGAAGAAGAAGAAAAAAGTGTGCTGGTGCATCCGATGTGTGTTTATATATATGTTAAAGGCCCATCACTTACCACCTTAGCACTCACTTCTGTTGTTCACTTGTCCACTTGAACCTAAACTCTCTCCAGCACACATACATACTCAGACATGACCACCACCACTCAGTGTAGGGACTGGGTACTCTCCTTTACCACTCATAACTGTCCTCCATTGGCTAAATTATTTACCAGTCCATTTTTCACCCCTCCCGCATTTACTTGTGTTGACATACTTTATAATTTGTTCTATCCCCCCGGCTATTCTCCCCTTCACCACCCTCCCTCTCTTTCCCCCATCTTCTCTGCCTTGCCCCACATAAAGAAACTCTAGGACAGTACCATCTAAGATGCTTGTTTCCACATCCCTGACCACAGTAAGTGGAGGTGTGTAAGATGATTCCATTGCGATCGATTGGCACACTACTGGGAGAAAAATAGAGCAAAAGATAAGAAAGTGCAGTGTCTAACCACAATAACTTGACTGTGGTGCATTGAGATACATGCACTCAACCAGGAGAAACTGAGGGCCAGGAAATGGGACTCAAATAACTGGATGTCTGCTGCAGTGTCATTATTTTGTGGCTGAAGAGAAAAAGATTTGAAGGGGGCAGGTCTTAAACTGTCAAAGTGAAGAGAGACACCTCACTGGAAAAAGCAAAAATGTTCCGAAAACCACTGTTGTGCAAATACTTTAGATTCATTGATATACCATGAAACATTTGAGTAAGCAATTTCAATGCCACGTGATGTTTGAGGCGTACTCACTTTCAGATATCGTCTTGAGCAAAATCTTGTCTCATATCACAACTTGTCCTCTTTATAGGCGTGGAGCCTCCCAAGGATCGTACGTTTGTGCGTCTGCAGCGGCGCCACATCAACGTGCCCCTCTACAGCATCCTGTCCACCATCACCATATTGGGCATGCTCATGGCAGGGGCCTTCCTGTTCTTCAACATCAAGAACCGCAACCACAGGTCAGCATTCAGCATTGGTGAAGCACAGCTTTGAGAAGGGGAGGATGAAGGGAGGGGTTAGATGAAGGGTAGCTAGTGAAGGTGAAACAGATAAACGTACGGTGCAGTGGGAAAGTAAATGAGGGGTTGGTGCAAAGGGAGAAAGAAGAGGGGGATGAATGAAGGATGAGAAGAATCAGCGGAGATTGAATGGTATTGAAGTGAAGGGATGAGTAACTGCTGCAGGCACATTATTTCTTATTTCACTCTCCTTCATACCTAAATATCATACTGAAGCATTTTTGATGAAGAGGACCTGTTTTATTCTATTCTATTCTAATCTAATCTAATCTTTTCTACCAGACTAATCAAGATGTCCAGTCCCTACATGAACAACCTGATCATCCTAGGAGGCATGCTCTCCTACGCCTCTATCTTCCTGTTTGGTCTTGATGGGGGTTTCGTCTCTGACAAAGAGTTTGAGACTCTCTGCACTGTGAGTTCCCTCTTGCCTAATATCAGACGGAATTGCCAACTCATTACACATCGTTTCTATTTTCAGTCTAACATTTTGTCCACTGGGGGAGGGGGTAGGCCTGTTTGACGATATATGAACATAACCCTTAATCATTTTGCTGACCTCTATTTTGTTTTTGCATGAGTTTACATAAAAATGTCACCAAAATTTTAGCCAACATGATGCCAGAATAACCAACAGTGGTCTCCTGACCGTAATAAGATTTGGGTTCAGCGATTCTCCCTTTTATCCTCCCCACCCATGCCTACTTGCACGAATTCAAAGACACATACAACAACGCTTCAGAGATGACACAGCGTAGCTTACTGATAGTCTGCAGTTGCGGTTTTTGAGTGGAAGATGCACAGTCCTAGTTAGTCGTTAGCTTGCCAGCCCCTGTAAACGAGTCAAAAAGTCTATTGTTTGTACAGTAGTTTTACCTTCCAAGAACTTTATCCACCACTTCATAAATCCACAAGCAAACCACCTGGCTCCTGGGCCGTCCATCCCAGGGAGCCGACTGCAGCACACGGGCTGGATCATAGAGGTAACTGCGGTGTTCCCAGAGCCTGGGAAGCTTGTCTATTACACGAACGAGGCATCGCTTGGTTTTGTTCCTGTTGGACAAATAAGTAATTTTGGGCTACTCCTATAAAGGCACTATCATTTTATATATTCATAATTGTGAATGTTAACAGGTGCTAATTAGTTTTTGAAAAAAAGGTTTAATTTTTTTTCGTATTCCAACTCCAATATCTGAATATTCTTAAGAATTTTAAGTTCATAGCTCTTTCAAAGGGTGTTTTACTGTAGCATTATCATGTTAATCTGTTATATCAGTGGCATAAAGTGGTCTCAAAATGACAATATTGTTTATCACAATTATTTCTGAAGTGATAGATTGTCTAACAACATAGTTATCGTGCAGACATATCCATCTGAATCTAACTTCCTATTAAGTCCACATTGATGCATAGTCATGACAACATACTTGTTTTGCCGGAGTTTTAGGGGGTGGAGCAGAGCGAAGTAAAACATACTATGATTTTGGGGCGATACTTTGAAGAAATGTCAATTTAGAACAGCCTCAATAGCAGTGTCTGTCTCATCTAAAGCACTTGTTGTTGCTGAGATCTACTGCTGTGGTGCTCATTGGATTGGTTTTTATTTCAAACAAGAAACCGCTGTGTCATGTCACTGTGCTAAGCGAATCAGTCAGCTCGGTGGAGTGGGCCGATTTCAAGGTCTGGACTTGTTCTAGCACAAAGTCTGATTTTGACTACACAATTATTGTGGCCAAAAAACTTAACTGTAAAAAGTTCACAAGAAAAAGAAATTGGAAAAAAAAATGCTATCAGTCAAATTAATCTTTAATTTTGTCTAATGTGCATTTTGACTCTTTTTTTGCAAATGAATTACACTCAAAATACAAGTGCAGGGAGTTGGAGAAAGAGTCTGTAACCATGACTGTACAGAAGTGTACAAGTGTAGCAGTTGCACTTAATGGGTAGTGGAAAGGCAACCAGATGGCACTGGGGGAGGGAGACAAAGCAAGAACGGAAAGAAACAGAAATGATTAAGAGGTGCTGGATTACTTACACAATATTATTGTATGTGTATTATTAACAAGATATCAGTATTTCATTTTTAACTATCACAGTTATTGTCAGTACTGGTATAAGTACTTAACACTCTAAAACATAAAATTATGAAAAGCATTTGGGTTGTATCCCTGACATTCTATTCTGTTTCAGTAGTGCCATTGAACCCTGCTCATTGGCTAACAAAAGAGGTGTGAACATGAGCTGAAAAATGGAGAATACTGCTGAAACACTAATCACATGCACTCTGTGTCCAACTCTAAGTGAAAACTGATTGAATCTCTCTCTCTGGCTCTCTAGCTAGCATGGAGCACATTAAGTGTCTCCCCCCAGGTAGCATTACTGTGTGACTATGTAGATGCTGGATTAATTAAAGAGTTTTGATTACAGTGATAACAGGTTTCCACTGAGATACCCCCCTCTCCCAGACACAGACACACACACACACCAGAGTAATGTTAGGCAGGGCACGTCTTGAGCTGCCACCACCTGGCTGAAGCTTTGCTGCAGAGCTAAAACAGAGCTTGTCACTTCAGACGAGGTTCTTCAGCAAAGGACCACAGAGGTTGATCCATTCACCGCCAATCAATATGTGCTGGTCTCCTTGAGAATAGATGGTGTAATTGTTTTTTTGGTGTCTTCTTTACCCAGTGCTCTGTCCCTGCCCTGCTTTATTTCTCTCTAGAGTGGCAGGTGAAGAGAGCCAGGTGTAAATGTTTGAAGCTTTACAGTGTGTGTGTGGTGCAGAAGGGGCTCACACACAGAAGTACACATAAAACAAACATGTACCACACACAGCAGTCTAACATATACAGTAAAAAGAAGCACTCTGTAGCTATTTTAGGAGTTCATAGTCTCTATTCAAATTCTAAGCTTTTAAAACACGTCAGCAGTGTCCTTTGTGCCAGAGCAGTAAGAGGTCTACATTTTGTTTCTCATTAAGATGAAACGCTCTCAGGAGTGTGACAGCTTCCATGGTCCAGGACGTTCTCCCAGAGCTCCACACTTGGAGAGTAAAAATAAATCTGACAGCTTCTTATTTTTAGAAGCCTTCAAGAAGCTATTTTGAATGAACTTCTTGAGAGAAATGCAAATACCTGTCAGATCAGATGTTGTTTTAAGCCTTGATCACCACTTTGAGACATGACAAAATTATGTGTGTGCCTGTTGTTTTGATAGGTTCGGACATGGATCCTCATCGTTGGATACACAACAGCTTTCGGTGCCATGTTTGCCAAGACCTGGAGGGTGCACGCCATCTTTAAGAATGTGAAGATGAAAAAGAAGGTATTGAAAAATATGAGTGACTAAGAGGTTATATATAGCAGTGCTATTTATTGTAGAGTTAGTTTGTTTGCCTTCTTGACAAATGAGCTTTGATTTTTCATTCATTTTTCTTTATTTATTTTTATTTTTTGATACATATCTTGGTTCTGAACTGTTTATTTCTTACCACATCGTGCACATCTGTAGGAACTACTACTTCATATAATCACAAACATCTCCATTAAAACATGTAGACCTGGCAGTCTTAACCAGGAAGCCTCACATGTCTTTTGAAAGCCCAGCACTGGTGTGTGGGTGCTTGTATTCATACTCATGCTTTTTAACAAACACTCTGAAAGACTGGCAGCCCCTGGCACCTGCTTTTAGAATCTTCTCTGTGAGAAAAAAAAAAAGATTCAGAAATACAAATGGCTTTTTAAACATCTGACACAATCTGTTTCACTGGCCTGGTTATATAAAGTGGCGCGGGCTCACCGAGTGTTGTAACTGTGCTTGGCCTTTTTGTATTTATAGATCTCGCTCTCCCCCTCTCTTTGTCTCTCTCCCACCCTCTCTCTCCCTCACCCTCTTGCATATTGGAGGAAGTGTGGGTGGCCTGCCAGAGAGAGAGAGAGAGAGAGAGAGAGAGAGCAGGAAGAGAGGGAGGAGTGAGGGATGGATCAAAGAGTCGGAGAGGTTGGAGGGATGTAGGGAAGTAGTGGCAGAAGGGAGGGTGGAGAGACAGACGGAGGAAGGCAAAGCAGGGCAGAACAAGGGACAAGACAAACAACGTGGCACAAATGGCAAAGAAAGTAGGTTGGACTCTGTGAGAAGAAAATGGGGAAGCTGGAAAAAGAGGCCAAAAGATGTTGGAAGATAAAGATAATCCAGATTACAGGTTAGAAGACAAGGAGGCATGACAGATCTCCACTTTATCTTGAGTTTCCACTTCAGTTCTACAGTTGTGTCAATGCAAGATCGCCACTTTTTTTCAGCTGTTTCCAAGTAAATGTCTTGGCCTTTCAAATTCATTGTCTTATTGAGATTTGAGGAATACAAAACAGTTTTGCATCTCCAAGCTCAGCATCTTTGCTCTAACCCTTCAATGCCAATTATCTCTGCTCAGTCCGCCCTCTCCCACCTTCTTCCCCGCGCTAACTGAGACAAAACCAATGTTTCTTCAGATGCAGTATTTACCCCTACTGCATATTTCAGCCCTTAAACCTCAAGTTGTATTCTCTGTTGGTTCATGGCCTGGGTCTGTTTGCAGGACACACACACACACGCGGCACACTCCCTCCATACTGATTGAGTTCAGGTGCTTTGGCTTCAGTAGAGTGATAGTTGCTGTTGGTGCCCTGAAATCTCTGTCAACGGCTGTCAGGGGAGGGACAAGCTCAAGTGTTAGCCATCTTTTCTTCAAACAGTAGGGCTGGAACTGCATCCCTCACTCCTTCCTCCTCAGCCTGGGACACTGGGAGAGCACAGATTGTAAATCAGGGGTGTGTTCGATAAGGGTTCCACTCGGCAGGCTACGGACGCACTCCTTCACTTCTTAAAGAGCTCAGTGCCAGAGACAGCGTTGGGGGGGTGTGGGGGGGGGGGGGCTGTCAGTCAATGTCCTCCTTCTCCAAATACACACAAACACACACCACAGACACAGATAAACATACACACTTTCAAAACACAACCCTTTACCCCCGTAGCAGCTATTTGTCAGTCTTGCTATCACAGTAATTTACTGAGTACTCCTTTGTGACACATAGCTGGATACATGTGCATGCACGCACACAAACAAGCACACAGGACAAAGCGAAACAAACACACAGTACCTCATTAGCTCATTACACATGCTTGCATAAATACATATTCATAAACACACAAACTGACCGTGCACACACACAACACCGAGGTTGTCTGAAAATAACATCATGAGCAACTTCTAAGGTGTCACACTACTTCACTGATCTTAGTAGATCAGAAGTAGTATACTGTTGTTGTTACGACACCCTGAGGTTTGGCTACTGGATTTAAACTCAGAACATGTTACAGTATTACAGCAGACACAGCTCGGCCCTGGCCTTTGCACTACACAGTAGAGGGAAATAGACTTCATTCTGGACCTTGAAAACAGTACTCATAACTCGGAGTGTACTTCAGTCTTTCAAAGCACTGACCCACATCTCACGGGCAGCGGCTGGACTTGTGGAGAATAGAGACATTTTTATCTCTATTTTTTATTCTCAATCATGTCCGGGTCATGTGTGTATTCAATGTTTCCATTATTTGGTCTTTCTCTCCAACAGTGAATGAACTTTATATAGCACCTTTCAAGCACAGAATGTAGCACAAAGTGTTGTACAATTCAGCGGCAGATAGACACACACAGCAGGGAGAACAAAGTCATCAGTAGAGACAAAATCACTGGATCCCAACAGGTATGTCAGAGTGCCAATATTACTGGGGGAAAGAAAACAGTACATAACACGTTAGGTAATTTAGAGTCATTACATACTTTTTCCTAACAGACTCCGTAACATATCACAGTTGAGCAGATGGTGGTGTAGAGCTTTTTTATGTAAATTTCTCCAAATTATCACACATCTTGCATATTTTTGTTACAACTATTTACTTGCTAGAATAACAGAATTTTACTTTTACTTATTACTAGTACTGGCTCATGGGCTTTCTTGCCAGATTTGGTGACTTTTAAGACACTGTTAGTGACACTTTCTTTCCCAAAAAAGCAGCTAGCAGCATATCTAGCAACTTTTTGGTCAGATCGTAAAGCTACAGTTGGTAACTTTGTGTCATATTTGCTGAAACTGTCACTGTATCCTTAAAGAATTACAAGAGACCAATAGTCTGTGAAAAAAATCATGTCCCTCCTCTAGAATCTACCGAAGCACACCAAACACAACCAATCAGAGCCGAGGAGTCTCTAACTGTGGTCAAACTCTCAAACTAGACAGCGCTGATCAAATATTAATCAAGATTCTCTTACTGCATTCTGTATTTCCCATCTCGAATGTTTTCAGAAATGAAGTTTAGTGTACTGTTTAGCTGTTAAATGATAGTTAACCAAAGTACCGCTCACCAGCCACACAAACTTTCTCATTTTACAGCTGAACAGTACACTAAAAATATGTTTCTGAAAACATTTGAGGGCAGACATAGGCAATGCAGTTGCAGAGTCTTAATCCATATTTGATCCCCAGTTTGGCAATTTGACCACAGGTTTATGTTTACATGCTGTACGGATATTAGAAGGAAGGAAGGAAGGAAGGAAGTAGGGAAGGAAGGAAGGAAGTTTTATTGTCATTGTGCTTCCACAACGAAATTTAAGCGCTACAAGGCAACAAAGTAGGCAGAGGAACATGATGGTTTTTTCTCCAGATTATCTGTTTCATGTAGTCCTAAAGTAAACATAGTGACAGTTTAAGCAAATATGAAAAAAGTTATTTGTATTAAAAGTTTGATTCTTCTCTTTGAGGAGAGTCTCCAGTATTTCTCAGTGAATGTGCACTAATATGGCTCTGGATTGAATGCTTTCAGTGGGTGGAACAGAACAACAGCACGTTTATTCAACCAATCATCAGCCTGACAGAGACATGAATGTGCGTGCTCAGTGACTAATCACTGATCCCCATTGTTTTTTTTTTCTAAATGCTTTAACTTTACTATTTAAGTTTGATTTTATTGTGTCAGATAGACAGAGTTAACAATGGTGAATTCATTCCAGTGCATCATTATCTCCCTATTCATGATAATTAAGTTACAGAGTCGACACAGTAGCCTTCAGAAATATGTTAACATTAGAGGAAGATTGAGGAGCTGCTTGAAAAAGAAATTTAATGTTATATCTAGTTATCTAGTTAACTATATGTTAACATTATAGATCTGCAAATTAGAACTAAATATCATCGAGCAACAACTAGCACCTTTTCCTGCAGGCTGTAGCTACTTCACACTGAAAATAGTAGCAACACTGACCAGACTTCATTTTATTTAATATACGGTTATTTTTGTTTTCGCCCATCTTGGTGTCAAATATTTTTTTGCTGGCTTTGAAGCAGCCATTTTCTCTGCTCTGCCTCTGTCTTCCTCTAAACTCCCCTGAAGCACTGAAGCATTTCTACAAGAAATGTCCCTTCGTCTTGCCTTGTCTATATTTGTTCAATGCCAACACCATCAAAAGACACCAGATCAAAAAACAACCCCCTCACGCATCTCATCCTGAGCCCACAGGCAGATGGAGACCTGTGTGAGACCACCGTGCTGCATTTGGGCTATGCGATACTCTCCAAACAGAGCCCAGCCTGTGTTCCCTGACCTTTCCTTTGATCTGCCATTTCAGACAGTCAAACGCTATTATAAATAAAGATCACAAACAGGTCACGGCTTTCATCCCTCTAAAGTTCATGGTACAAAAGAGGAGCTGTAGTGGTCAACAGCGATGGTTCCTGTTTGGTGGCTCTTTTCCACATTCTCTGGCCGCAAGGTAACAAAATCAGGGCTTGCTGGTGGCATTGTTTTCACAGGATGAATGTCCACCAGTGGTTCTTCGTCCCGGGCCAATAGAGTGCAGTCTACCAATATGTGACAGTGTAAAAGAATCTCAAACAAGGCCAAAAACGTGATCTGAATAAAATAGAAATGCATTAAGGAGTATGAGTATGTGCAACTTAACTCATTTTAAGAATACTCCCAGTCATCAGCACCTCATTGCAACCCTGTGCACAGCTGTTCTACATATATATAGTGTAAAAGAGTATCAGTCACAAATTCTAAGCCCGATCTCAGTCTTTTGGACTTTCAGTTTGGCTGGTTTTCTATCCTAGTAGGTGGTTAATTGCAGCTAAATGCATTGTAATCAGACCCTGATTAGATGTTAGGGTGAAACCAGCAGGGCTCCAGGTCCTGAGATAGGATGAGAATCACATAATTATAGTGGTCAATAAGAAATGTTGTTTGAAATGCCTCTGCAGACACACACACAGTTGCATAACACTCGCAGGTGTGTGCTATTGGGCTAATATGAGCATCTAATCTTCCTTTCCCGCTCCAGATCATAAAGGACCAGAAGCTGTTGATCATCGTTGGCGGGATGCTACTAATCGACTTATGCATCCTCATTTGCTGGCAGATTGTGGACCCGCTTAAGAGGACTGTGGAAGAGTACAGCTTGGAGGTCAGTGTGCATTTTTATGTTTTTTTCACATGTCGTTTAAACTTGCGCTTGATTGTGGTTTTATTTATGTTGCTGTAACATGATTTGCCCCAGCTGGGAGAATCCCAGTGACACAGATTCTTGCTAAAAATGCCTGTGTATTTGTTTAGGCAAACAAAATGTCCGCCTTGGGCTGTATCGCGAGCATCTTTGTTGTGCTTGTTATTTTTGGGTCAGGATGTGAGCCATCACTGCCTCCTGCGCTCATCCCATGGCCGGACATTTGCCAGCTTGGATGTGACACTTTGGCAAGGCCTGCTGGAAAAGAGGCACTTGGCATCACTTTCTCCTTGCTGGAGAGGTGGCGTGGTGTAGAATAGAAATGAACTCTGCTTCGCTGTGATTGGTTAGAGTAGGCTCAGATTCCCTGAGATTGGTACAGGATTAGTCTAGCTGTGCGCCCAATTGGCTAAAATGAACATACTGTAGCTTTGGCATTAGAGGTGTGTGAAGTGTGTTTTCAGCATGACATATTAGCACATAACTGTCAGTGGTATTAAGGGAATGCAGACTGAATTAGAAAGGCACAACTGCATATTTATTTCCTCAGAGGATTTAGTCACTTTGGTTAAAGTGGCAGATTGAGTTTTAATGTTTTTTTTTTTTCATATTTCTGTAGTATAAAATATTATGCAAGTACAGCTTCACTGTTTAGTACATCTGTCTTTCTGTACAGATTAACACTAAGATGGTGGGTTAAATGCTTGAGTCAGGAAGATTTTGAGCTGCATAAATTAAAACAGCTTTGAGCCTAGTCTTTTTATTTTTGTTTTTGTTTTTGAGAATATTAGCTCATGCTGTTAAGTAGATGGTTCTGTGTTCCACTGGTTAAACATAAGAGGCTGCGGGACACATTCATACCTCAATCTATTAAATTGTTATACAAAAAGATTGGCTCACCTTAGACTGAGAGCAGCTAATGGTAAAATGGGTTATAGACAGTCTCTCTCTCTAAAACCTACAAATCAGGTTAGAAATCTCGGGGTAATAATGGACTCAGACTTGAACTTTAACAGCCACATCAAATCAATAACATCAGCAGCTTTTTACCATCTAAAAAACATTGCCAAAATCAAAGGTATAGTGTCTAAACCTGACTTGTAGAGACTTATCCATGCATTTGTCTCTAGTAGGTTAGACTACTGTAACGGCCTGCTCACTGGCCTCTCCAAACGGGCCGTAAGACAGCTGCAGTACATCCAGAATGCTGCTGCTCAGGTCCTGACCAGAACCACATTAGTCCTGTGCTCAGGTCTCTACACTGGCTTCCTGTGGCTCAGTGAATAGACTTTAAAGCAGCTCTGCTTGTGTACAAGTCTCTCCACGGCCTAGCACCAAAGTACATCTCTGACATGTTAGTGCCATATGAACCATCTCGGACTCTGAGGACCTCAGGGACCGGCCTCGTGCTGGTGCCCAGAGTCAGGACTAAACATGGGGAATCAGGATTCCAGTTTTATGCAGCTAAAATCTGGAACAGTCTTTCTGAAGATGTGAGACAGGCCTCTATTCTGACAATGTTCAAATCTAGGCTCAAAACAGCTCTATTTCACTGTGCATATGACTGAAAGGATCTTATCTGCACTCTTCTCTTTTAAAGTTCATTTTATAATGATTATTTATGTTTTTATTTTGTATTGTGATTTTAATGCATTTTCTTGCTCTGTAAATCACTTTGAATTACTTTGTGTATGAATTGTGCTCTACAAATAAACTTGCCTTGCCTTGCCTTGCCTTGCCTAGAGCTGGTGCAGTGAGGGATATTGTACAATTGGGATGGGAACTGTATCTGTGTGTGACACTGTGCTGTTAGTAATGAAATACACTGCAGCTGTGGTTTGATAAATCTGAATTTATCAAAGTATATGTTTGGCTGCTTTATAGACTAACAATAATGTGTCCTCTGATGTCATTTTAAGGCCTTAGGTGGGTTTTGCTTTCATACCTGTTTATTGGATATGTCCATGTCACTGAGTGTGTTGAAGTAACAACAGCATTATTGAAAAATCTATTTTACGTTGCTATACGTTATTCCCTTAATAGGCTGACAAATAAAAACAGGAGAGATTATGTTTACTTTACTGTTGCTGCTAACAACTTGACAAGCAGGAGCTATTATTCCACTGCAGCTCAGATTAAATCATCTGTTTTTGAAGACCACACATTATGGATACAGCCAAGTGGAGATGTTCACTAATGAGTTGTCTTTTAAGTCCCCTATACGTCTGCATGTAGGCCGTGAGACTGTTAACTGGCTCCCATGAGACCAAAGTCTCCGGAAATCGACAGCATTGGTTGGCTCCTCATTGACCCTTGTACTAAACAGAGGTTATCAAAAGGTCACTGCAGTGAAAGGCTCTAATGCTCGGTTTTTATGGAGACTCCTTTTGATCGTATTGAATGGATTTTCATGTTGTTTGCTTGCTTGTTGCCAAGGTCCTGCGGGGGATGGAAGGGTGGCTGACACTGTCTGGCACCCAGTTTTGACTTTTCCGTGTCTTCAATTAAATGGAAACCCTGTGAAGTGATAAATAGCGCTAATCTAAGAGTGCCATGAGAAGGTCAGCTTTTCTGAGGTTATTTTTTTTTCCGTCTTAGTCCTTGATGAAAAGATTCCTGTGGGAGATCTCTGAGGAAGAAACTGGTGTAGAGATGAATGATATCTTAGCAGACTTATTTACATTCTTGTGCTCCTTGTGGCGTACTCTGAAGGTATACTTAGCACATTTGTACAACTCTAGACAAAGCCGTATTTCCTTTGTGATGATAGCCACTTATATATTTAAGCCTGCCTAAAGGGTGTAGCAAAGCCTTGCTTAACATATTCATTGGTGAATGTTGTCAGTGTATGCAGTCGGGTCCTCGTGGAGTATTCTCAGACTCTAAGCCCCCGGCCAGGGGAGAGTTGTGAATATATTAACCACTCAGTGCAGGAGTCTGCATCCCCCCTGGGGTCGTGGATCTGCATGCCTGGGCTGAGGCAGAGGCTCCACATGCCTGCCCGGCCTGCCAGATTTCCAGCACCAGCAGCAGTGGACCCTTGGGGCCCAGCTGTGGGAAAGGCAGCCTGGAGCTCCTCTGGGCCTCTATGCTTGTCAGGTGGGACCAGAAACCAGAAGGCAACCCAAAAACCCAGAAAGAGGGCAGGAGAAAATGAAAAACATTACGGACAAATTACGGTAATAAACAACATGGATAAACATATTGCACTATTACCAAAGACAGAGGAGAGTTAGGCCGCATTCAGATGGACATTATCGCTGCATCAAATAACACCACCACCTCATTCATTTCAATGAGGCTGCTGCATTGGCACAATTAGTCAAGCTGGACTTACTGGATCATATTTCATTTTCTCTCCGCTACCTGTAGAAACATGCCCCCGCCAACATGGCCCCTTGTGTTTTTTAACACGTTGCTATTTTCGGTCTGAACACTCACTTGAAATGGAGATGATTTGGTGAGTGGGTGAGGAATGGGACCATGGTGGATGGTCTCCATAGGGCTCAGGAGCCAGTGAGACTAGCTCTGACTGACTAACAGTAATTGGCGCAAGGAGAAGGACCATTAGTTACCCAGTTTCCTGTGAGCTCTCACATCATGCTAGGCCACCCCTCCCCTGTGACTTCCTTCTGTCTGTTGTCTTTTCCTTTTTTCCATCCCTTTCTCTCTCTCCCTGTCATCACCAGGATCTCCTCTCCTCCCCCCTTGCATTTCCCCTCCCCATTGTGGAGGGTTGGGAATAACATTGACCTTGGGTTCACATCACTGTAACTACCTGCTGTACCCAAGGGTATGCGGTATGACAACGTGGTGTTATTGAACTGTCACCGTGCTTGCTAGTCCACCGCATTTGTTGTTTGAACCATTACACGGGAGGGTTTTCTTATTGACTCAGGGCCAACATGGGTACCCACACATTGTTTACAGGAGAGGTTCTGCAGCTGCTTTTTCAGTTTAGATACACATACAGTGTGAAGACACTCAGGGACGATCATCAATGCAAGTGTGTGTTCAGGAGAGACACTTACTGTAGTATACTTAAGTTGATACTCCTGCATGCACACATATTCCCTGTGGTGGTCACAGACACGCGTTCATCTAAATATTGTAAGTTGTTAAATGGCCATGGTTGAGATTTTGGGTAAAATTATCTTGCTCATGCTTTACCCAGTGGAAACATGGGCAAAGTCAATACTCTGCATCACCGGGGGTGAACCCACTGCTCTGAATCCAGCAAGCTAAGCTTAATGAGCTACCATTAGCAAAACTAGGGCATCCCCCTTTGCATCCTTTATTAGCATTAGCAAGAAGATGAAACTGTGAAGAGGCTGACAATAGATCCTTGTGGAATGCTTCATAAAATATGACTGATTTAATACCCTCCCAAATAAAAGTAAAGAAGGGCCAGAGACCATGTTGGGAGCTAAGTCTTTGAGACTCAAAAATGAGAGGAGAGTGACCCCCGAGTCTTATTTTAATTACAGTGTGCAGATGATAGGCTTTCACCAGAAATGACTTGTGACCTTGACATTGTCCCCAACCTTTTCAAACCAAGCCTAGCCTCTGATCTGCACTTCAATATGCACTGTACATAAAACACAACCTTATGTGCTGAATTCAATAAAAATGGTGAGAAGATTAAAGGGGACTTGGCCAGGATGGTAATTGCAGCTCCACTTCCTCCCTGATTCTCTACACCACTCCAACCCTAAATCCTAACAGCACCGAGAATATTCTGCATATCAGTGTCTTTTTTTTCCCAGAGAGCTTACTGAGAGCAGGAATAATTCCGGCTGCTCTGGGAACGTCCTGGGAATGCTGATGGAGACGTTGGGCTGCAGTGAGCAATTAGATCCATTTTGTGGCTCGTTAATAATTGAGCATTTGTTAATGGCGTGGATGTTTCAGCAGCGGGGCAGACTGCTGGTTGCCATCAGATTAAGCCTGGCAGCACTGAC